CACTAATTAGTGCAACAAATGCGCAGCATATAGTTGAAGAAGAAACTTCTCATTACTAAAATGGTAGGATCGGAAAGAAGTAAGGACTGAAAGACATTCGGTAGAAAAATACAAGTTCTGCTAACTGATCCTCATATTTTTGTGCTGTCATACAACAATAGAAGGATTTTAGTCTTCATGTATCCATGTTATACGCCTGCTCATAAGCCAAAAATTAAAGAGGTAGCGCACATTTAAGTGACTATATCTTTTGTGTTGTCTCCATCGGAGCTACTTTTGGGTTGGTTGTGTATATTATAATGATTGTGCTCACAGGGAACTCTATCCTCTGATCTAAGAGCTCTGTAACCTAATGGAATTGATGTCCTTCTGACGGTGACCAATTGATTCACTTCGCTGTCACTGATATACTGTGGATCCTAGGGTTCGAAGCTCGAACCCCGTCACCCCACCCAACTTTGATGGCGGGAGGGCAGCTTCACTGTTGTCCAGCTCAATACCACACCAACGCTACTGAAGCCCAATGTGGTTCACCCCTCCAGGTCTCTGGGTTTTCGGTTTCGGTTTCCATGATTGAACAATGGGTCCACGTGACTGTTTATTACATAGTGGTCTGTAATAAAAGATCGAACCAGAGGCACAATGCATTTTACAAGAAGTTGTTTGTGTTTTCGAACCTATTGCTCGTCTAGGATATTATACCTCTCAAAGGTTATCGTCAAATTCCAATGGACTAAAATCAAGTCAGGTAAATATAGGTAGTTTAACGCCAATCACTGTAAGCTTTGGAAGAATCCTAAACGGAGTGAAAAACGTAGCAGGAGCTTCATGGACTACCTACAGGCTGGTACACAATCTTAGTGGTGAGTGAAATATGAAGAACTACACAATTGTTAAAGAACGTGTCTCTGTGTCCGGATTAGAATCCATAAAGTCGTTGGCTGAGTTCTCGAAAGCACATTGTCAACTATGATATTTTTATTATCTTTACTACTCAGGGTATTAGACAAGCGATGGTATCGGTATTATTTGGTTTCTTTCCCTTCCATCAAGTAGGTCTATTTATTGTCTGACACTTATTCGTATTGTTTGCATGTATTTGAAATCGTCAGTGAGGTTATTGACGATAACATTATTATTTAATCCTTTTTTTGTTTCCTGTGTTACCTCCAGGCAGCACGTGACAAACTGATTACCTACGAAATACACGTGCCGGATGAACAAATCCGAGGTCTCTCTTTGGTCGATGAGTTGCAACGGTTTTTCCACCAGGATGAGTTCAGTTCTCTCGTTCAGGCATGGAATGAACAGCGAANGTCCTAAAGCAAGCCGCAGAGGAGTTCATTTATCCCACGCTTATTCGTGAACTCCGAGATAGACTGTTGGATAGCAGTCAACAAGCGGTTCTTAGGGTACGCCCTTTTCTCACGTTCAATTTGATTTCATCCTGTGTTTACGGCTCCCACATAGTCTCATCCTATATTGAGATTGTGAAATTTTCAGTAGCCTCGGTGGGATTCAAACCCACGCATGGACGCCGCGTACGTTTTTGTACAGCGCACACTCTACCAGCTGAGCTACGAGACCACACCGATAGCACTGATCTTTTCACATTCGAATCACTCATTCAACTTATCTGGCATCTTATGGCATATGGCATCCACCAGTTCGCATTTAAGGTGACTGCCACCACAGGTTTTCCTTAGAATACACCGGAGTCCACCGAAAGGCAAGGTTAATTGTTCTCATTTTATAGATAATTCTGAAATATTGATGTTTATTTTGAAATTCTTCCCTGAAGCACAAGGACGCCTATCGTTATGCTTGCTTTCTCTTTAAAAAAGCATCTTATTAATGTTTCTTCAATTTGTTTTCTTATAATTACTGATAGATAAAACATGGTATGTTTCTTTTGACTTAGACTTGATACTCCGACTGTTCCCATTTTTTGTTTTTCTGTTAGAACCGGAAAAACCCGACATCACAAAATCCTTGTTTTGAAGTTTTTCGTTTTCTGCACATACCATTCAATGGTGATTCACTTTTGCGTATTTATCTAGAAGTTCGACTTCTCTATAGCGTTCACTTTTGGTTTCTTTTTAGTTGTGCGCAAAAAAGTTGTTCACCTATCTGCAAGTTGCTCCCTACCCGGCTGATGGACACCGATCTTACGAGGCTGACGCAGAGGGTGCTGATTCACCTTTTCCTTCCGGACGCAATAGACATGATGGTCGGGGTCATGGTGACTCTGATGTGCATAGTAGTGGAAGTGTGTGGCCAAAAGGGGCAAGAGTCCTGGCAATGGCCCTCAAGGATGAAGACGATGCAAGAGAATCTGTTGTCTCGGCCGTTCATTTAGATGCGAATGGTGAAGTGGTCGATTTTTTGCATTTCCACGGTCTCTTACAATCCAAACGTGTTGCTGACGACTTCAAAAAAGTTAAAGTACGTCAATGAGTAATTCTAAAAATTTCACCATTTTTCTTTCGTGTGTTGACCTGAAAATATGCCGTCATTGACGGAAAGTTCAGAAAAGTGGAGTCTTATGAGTTAATATATATATATAACTTAAACTTGGGTCACATCATACCCTTTGTCAGATCTCTTGCTCCCAATGCCTAGCGCTCTAAGGTTCAGTCACAGGAGTAGATATGATATTATCTCATAACAGATAATACATATCTGTAATAGTATCCTCTTATGTTGTTTCTACCAGTCGAATGGCTTATACAAGTATAATTTCTCGATTTCGACGACGGTTGCTGGTGCATCATTTTTCAGATAATGAAACTTCACTATGAAAAATCATAAGAATTTTTTTATAAAAATGACGGCCATTAGCATTTCATTTTAGCAATACCCTGTGTGTCCTCCTTTATTTTTGAGCACTGGGACCAGTTTTTTCGGCTTGGGATCTACCAACTTGGAAATCAAATCGCATTTGTTAGCTTTCTCCAATGCATAATGCGCCTTGGCCACTGACGATCACTGTCGATGTAGCTTCAACACGGGGGAAAAGTTTGATTGCATTCAGATCCGGACTACTGAATGAATTCGATTTTGAGATTTTCCAATCCAAAAACTTAATGCATGTAAGAAAACAATATATAATGAGGTCTAAAAGATTTCTGTGGCCAACCTCGCATGGTATATGGCATTGAGCTTAATCTGGGAAAAGTATGGCTTTTTGTGAATGCGGTTCGAAAGTGGCACTCCCCGAAAATCTTGACTAATGCAACGAATTTAGCGCCATCCAGGGTGTCACCTACAGAAGCCTAACAACAGGGCATTCAGTATTTATTTTTCATCCAACTCATCAGACGGGACAAATATTTGCTTTCTTGGTACCGGTGAAATGGATTTCTGTAGAAAACTAAGTCAACAGACCATCTCTTTTCATCTAGTGTATTGTTCATCAACCACCAAGCATTCGTCAGTTATTATTCAACTGACGAATCGGTTCGTTTTGATGCAACACGTAACAACACTATGAAAATGTCACAGTACCAAATGATAATGTTACATGTGGGCGCTGTTCTGATCTTCGCTCTCGTCGTCTTGTGTCACTGTACCAGGTGTAGCGATTCGTACCAATTGTGCAACCTGTAGAGAGACAAGAAACGAGTGGTTGTTAATAATTATCCGATGTTCAATAACTCAACGTTAGCCACTTTCCGTTTCATGCTACAAAACGCATATCCCACGAACCGCACACCTCAAGGTCAATTTTTTCATGTTCCTTTGAATTTAGTTGAATTCCCTTCATGGCGATAGATTTTGCGTAGGTGGTTTTTAGTCAAATACTTTTTCAATTAGCTTGTCATAACAAATGATTATTTATATTTACCGTACACCTCATTTAAAATGATATGCTACTTCGAATACTTGGATTGACCAGAATAAACACCTTCACGAAACATTAAAAAGAATAAACCTCCATGCTGCTCTGCATCATATATTTTCTAATTTTAAGGTGTAACCTCAAGTCAAATCATGAAACCGCTACTACAAACTTTATCATGACAACCAATGTCGTCCCAATTGAAGTGCTGATATGAAAGAATTAACAACATTGCAGTAGGAGTTAAAGTTCAGAACAATGTTCTTTTCTCATGACTATCGATTTGTAAGCATATATATATATATATATCGTCGTCACTTCTGAAAAATTATTTTCAACAGTGAAAAGTTTAAAGCATCTCTTTCATTCCGATTTTTTCATGTATAAATACTTGCTTATTTTTGCGTGTTCTTTTCGTTCGTACAGGAAAACGACATGCAGCGTCTAACTAGTTTCATGGTCAAGCACCGTCCTCAGGTAATTGTGATCGGTTGTAACTGTCGGCGGGCACTGTATCTCCAAATGGATCTACAAAAGCTGGTAGATGAGCTTGCCGCCGAACGGCGTTTGCCACGCGTACATGTTGAACTAATGGAAACCGAACTGGCCGTTGTTTTTGCTCAATCATCGCGTGCTTCAGCTGACTTGCCCTCATCCTATTCGCCACTTCTTAGACAAGCCATCTCTTTGGGTCGCCGTCTTCAAGATCCTCTGGCTGAATTTGCTCAATTAGTGAACACCGAGAATGAAATACTCGGTTTCCGATGGCATCCGATGCAAGATTCGTTACCGCGCGAAAAACTCTTCCAAACGTTGGAGATTGAATTCATTAATCGGGTAAACGAAGTCGGTGTGGATGTGAATCGGTGCTTGTCTCATTCTCACACAGCCAATTTACTCCAGTTCGTTTCTGGGTTGGGTCCTCGTAAAGCTTTACATATGATTAAAGTGAGTCCAAATCATTTGAGTATTTCCTTATTGTCTCCTCAGCTACTCATCATCCAGGTATCATTGTTAGTGACCGAAGTTTTCCTTACAAAACCCCTTACAAACATTGCCCAACGTAATTGGGGGCTTTATGTAATTTTCTACTCCAAGTTGTAAAGCTTAGGCCGCCCTTTCCCATTACCGAATAGTAGGTTAATGTAACTATGGGGTTCCACCCTATTGCCCATTATATTGAGTTTTGTTATCAAGCAATTCTGGATTTGCCTTTGTGATTTTCACCGGGGTGTTTATCCGTGGTGCAAATAATGTATGTTGTATAAACAATATTCAATGTCACCGTTGTCTTTCACGTGGATAATTAATTAATAAAATTATTTGTTCTCGTTTTGACCGATTATCTAGATACTGAAACATAAGAAAATGTATCTCACCAACCGGACACAGTTGTGTCTTGTTATCGAATTGGGTTCTCGAGTTCTGACGAACTGTGCCGGATTCATCAAAATCGATACTGGCCTAGTGCGTGATTTGGATGTAGATGATTTGGAAATCCTCGATTCAACAAGAGTGCATCCGGAGAGTTATCATTTAGCCAAAAAGATGGCTGTCGACGCATTGGAATATGAAGACACAGAAGAATGTGATCCCACCGCAGCTTTGGAGGAAATAGTTCAAAGGTATGTTTCATTCCAGGGACTTATTTCATAAGAGTAATGTAGGATTTCATTCGATTATATGGTGAATTTCCCTATGTACAAAGCGTTCTACCCGTAAGGTCCCGCATTCGATCCTCAGTTGGGTCGATGAATTCTCAAAGCTCATGAGAAACAATCCGGTTGAAACAGGTGTATAGTGCTCCCTAGCTTCTCAATTTGCTTTTCGTTTGTTCTGTAGAGAACGAAATTCACCATATAAAAAAATAAAATCATCCACTACTCGCATTTAACAAGCAGTCGGTTTGGGATGCTTCCAACCCTTGTGATTTTTTTGTTAACGAACCCCGTACAACNCGTACAACCTTTCGGTTTTTACTGATATGGAAAGCTATCAATCCTCAATTAGCGAAAGTTGACACTTGAAAGATTGTCACATTCGTCATACGTAAAACCGAAACTCAAGTTCCTTTACTAATAAAAGACCTGTCACAATCTAAACTTGAGCACTCATTGAACGGTCTTCATTATGCTACTTAAACAGGTTTTGCGCACGCCTGACCGCCGTCTACCTTTCTACACCCTTCACGTTTTGTGAAAGGTCAGAAAAAGGGTCGCGGTGATCAGACCATGACCTGGCGCAGAGGTATAAAGAAGTCAGCTTCAGCGTTGGCTTCGGTTGGTACAGCCCGCCTTCCAGATTGGAGCCAAGGGATGAAGGTTGTCGTTGGTTAGAGACGCTAAGAAATTTGGTTCAGAATAGAACTTAATTGCGTGAATGCTTTACAATCTGCCTGTCGAAAGATAAACAAAAAATATCATGGTGCATGATGAAAAAGAAGACTACTTTTCTTGTTCTTTTTGTTCTTATCAATTGTCTTTTTTACATATTTTCTGCCTTGTACCTGGATAGTTCTTTTAACTAGTTCCAGTTATTATCGTTGTCACGGCACCCACGCCTAATCACAAATCTGTGGTATATATACAAATTAGTTGTTCCCCTTCTTAGCGATGAGGCTCCGCAGCAGTACCTGTCCATCCAACTCTAATCAATATACAACCTACAAAGAGTTCCATACTGGATCGGTGGTCGCACAGGCTACTCAGAACTTCATTGAGAGGGGGCGGATGGTGCTGTCCAGACGAGTGTCCAGATATCCCAGCTTTTTAGCTTTTTGTTTTCAATACCCAACTCTCTCCCTTTGCCCATTTTTCCCATCCGCAACATTCTGTCAGACAGCGTTGTAGGTTGTGCCACTAAATAATTTGCGTATTTGAAGCTGCGTCAACCTTTGAATCTGAGGAGGGGGCTTCAACATGCGGACTTTCATGATTACGGGCTAACAATCATGTTTGGTACGCACGGCGATCTCTAGTCATTCATCATCACACTTTTTTCTATTTTAATCGTTCCACCTTCCCACTTTGCTTTGTATTTCAACCCACCTGCCCTATGTTATTGTTATTATTGGTGTGGCGTTGGCACCATGCCTGTTTACAAGCCGGTGTAAAAATATGAATATTCATCATCAGATCAAGTGCAGATGGGTAAGCTTCGTTCCTTAGGTCAGGTTTGGCGCACCTCAAATTCGTTTGCCGCACCGTAGGTGTTGTTGGTGTTTCCAGGCTAGGGCCCATACATTCCGTAACTAGTACGTTAGAGACACTAAAGGACATGGCAGCGAACCGGTAGCAGTTGTCATTTCCTATCAGACCAGGATGTTTGAAAAGCTGTGTACCCATAATTAGACTACATACTCTGTGTTGACTTTAGGGGTCCACTCCCCATTCACTTAACGCATACTTTATTTGTGTATAAATATGTATTTTATGGTGACCATTTAAGTCCCCTTCACTGTATGTTACTGTACGATAATGAATATGACATGCAGAACCATATGAAACGCAACCGTTCAGGACTGTTCGTGTATACTGACAGCAACAGCGTCTTGTGGTAGCGTATTTCAAATTTCTCCTCTGCTGCCTTCCTTTTTACCACACTTTACAGCCCTGCACGGTTGCGTGAGTTGGATCTAGATGCATTTGCTGAGGAATTAAAACGCCAAGATCATGGTGACAAGCACATCACTCTGTACGATATTCGTAAAGAGCTGAACAACCGGTATCGGGACTACCGAACACCATACCAATCCGCCAATCCCGAACTAATTTTCAGCATGGTCACACATGAAACACCGGAAACGTTTCATGTGGGTCGCTTGGTTGAATGTCGCGTGGTCTCGGTGGCCACGCGTCGTCCACGCCCGGATCAACTCGATAACACCAACCCCATGAAAAATGAAGCAAACGGTTCGTGGATGTGCCCGTTTTGTCGGCAGGATAACTTTCAATTCCTCAATCACGTGAGTTACTCTCCAGCCGCATTTAATAGACTCTTATTCTCAAGGTTAGACCATTCAATTTATTATCTAAAGGGATTTCTACTGTTTGTTTGTTTTTCTAACTATTTTTTACAATGTAGACCGACATTGCTCCAAATAGCAAGATTAGGATGATGATACGGACAGGGAAGGACATCACAGTGCCCTAAAGAGGTGAAAAGCGTATTGCTGTGATCAATTTTGTAAATTTTTAATGTTGACATTCAGTGTTTAAATATTCATACAGACCAATACTCTTCTCTGTTAGGAAATAACCAATTCAATACATCGTTGTTTGATAAGTCATGGACTGAATGTAAAAAAAGAAAACCGAATGGGTTCGAGTACATATGGCATTGGAAAATTTGCGGTTTATTGAATGCGAGTTTTTGTTGTTTGTTTATTTTTCCTGCTTTTTAACTTTTTTTGTACTAGTTTCACAACAGGTTCGTATTTCTTTTAAACATTTCAGGTTTGGAGCCACTTTGACAATGATGAGTGTCCCGGTCAGCCCGTTGGTCTTCGTGTCCAATTGGATAATGGAATCGCTGGATTTATTCCACTGCGCCTAACAGATCCTCCAGCTGAGAAGTTATTCGAGCGTGCTTATCCGGGTGCACTCATTCAATGCCGCGTGGTGAAAATCGACATAACAAAGTTCAATGTGGAACTCACTTGCAAAAATTCAGACTTAAAGGTAAATCGAAAACTTCCATTCCGTTTCATGTAATGAAAAGGGACAGCCGAGTGCCGTGCCATGCTATTAACCCTAAGTTCACGTGTGTTTCCGCACTAATTGTGGTTGATTGTATTCAACCTGATCATGAGTATTTTGGAGAGAGTACATTGGTAACTCTTGCACCAACCATGTGGGTGTAACCTTAATCCTAATAGCGAATAAGCTTGCGGCGTCCAGTGTACGCCTCGGATGAGCCAAAACACGTAAGGAGCTAACCCTGTCTCTCGTAAACGCATTCAGGATCCGAGCTCAGTGATCTGATTAACGTCTCCTTCCGATCCCGAAGATGCGTATACCAACGATTCAAAAGTCGTTGCATCGTTTGGCAATTGAGGTTACTCGCTATGGTGTGTCCTTTGCACCTTCAAAGTGAAAAGTGTTGTTGCAAGATTGGCAGGAACGCATTTCAGCACTTTCGTTGGATAATGACACCCTGGAAGTAGTCGAAAGCTTTGTCTAACTCAGGACTTGCATAACGACCGGTGGATGTGTGGGTGAGATCTGTCAACTCGTGTTCAAAGCTAGATTAGCGTTTTCTAATCTGCGGCATCTCTGCCGCTGGCGCGACACATCCCTTGCGCAACCGTACGCACCGCGTTGCTCTGTCTGCCATACCGTGCACTATTCGCAGACCTAAAACTTGAACAAAAAAG